GCCGTCAGCGGCCGGCGCGGGGCAGGGAGGGGGCGGCGAGCATGGACCCCGAGCGCGCTTCCTCGCGGGAGTCACAGCCAAGCGGTGGGGAGGGTCACCCGAGGCCCCTCCCCGGGTCCCCGTCCCTCCCCAGTCCCGGGAGGATAGAAGCGGCCAGAGACAGACACACAGGCAGACGAGAGCCGGGGGCGAGCCAGGGACGGGGGCGGCCCAGCAAGGGCCCGGAGCGGAGGGCTTTCCAGCCCAGCTTGGGGTCAGGCGTCGGGGCCCGGGGGTGCTGACGGCCGGCCTCGCCTGCTCCCCTTTCTCGTCTCGGATCTCTCTGTGGTCACATCCGGAAGTTCCACATCAGAGATGCTTAACCCGCTGTCCGCCGGCGGCGCGGGCGAGGCGGGGCTTCGGCAGGCCCCGCCCCAGGCCCCCCGGCCCCCGAGGCTCTCGGGTCGGCTTTGTGTCCGAGTCTCCTCCGTGCGGCGTCCTCTTCTTCCTCTGCCGTCCTGACCCGCCCGCCCCGGACCTCCTCCCCCTCCCGGCCTCCGCAGGTCTCTGTGGCCCTCTCCCCTCTCCTAGTCTGTTTCCACTGCCCTCGTCCCCTGAGTCTCTCTACGTCTCCATATCTCGGTTACTATTCCTCAGTGTCCCTGTCTATTCTGGTCTGTCTGTCTGTTACAGTGCCTGTCTATCCCTGCCTATCTGTCTGTCTGTCTCTGTCCCTGCCTGTATATCTGTCTGTGTGTGTCTGTTACTGTCCCTGACCATCCCTGTCTATCCCTGCCTGTCAGTCTGTCACTGTCCCTAGCTGTCCTTGTCTGTCCCTGCCCATCTCTCAGTCCTGTCCCTCTCTTGCCCCCTGGCCTCCACTGCCTTCCTGGTCTCTGACCCCACCTTTCTCTGCCTCTCACTGCTCTCTTCCCGGTCTCACCCTGTCCCCCAATCCCTCCTATCAGTCACTTCCTTCCCCTTCTGACCCTCTCTCCCTCTATCTCTCTCTGACTCTGACAGAATTGTAGACGGAACCAAACCCCCATATTTGAGTTTCTCTTCCTGCTTTGTTCCCCCTGCCTCCCTTCCTGGGAGATAAGGACACTCATGGGCCTGTGTTTGCAACTGTCTCCAATGTATGTGTGTTCCTTGTTTTGTGTCCAGTTGTCAGACTATGTTCCAGGGGTGTGTATACATTTGTGTGTGTGTGTGTAGGAGTGACTGTGTGTCAGTCTGTCTCTAACTATAATAACTACTGGATGTGCGCATGTATCTGCCTGAGGCGTAGAGATGTCACCAAACTCTGTGTTTGTGTGTGTTTGTGTGACTCTGTCCCTCATTCTTATCCTGAAGTCCCCTAACTACTCTCAAAGTCTGTGGAATTCCCAAAATTCTTTGCCTGGTGTACACATATGGAGTCCTGGTGGCACTGTGGGTTAAGATCTGAGCTGCTATCCGAAAGGTTGATGGTTCAAAACCACCAGTACTCTGAAGGAGAAAGATCTGACAGTCTGCTTCCCTCAAAATGACAGCCTTGGGGACCCAATGAGACAGTTCTTTTCTGTCCTGCAAATCAGTCAGTGACTATGAGTGGGAGTTGATTTGACGGCAGACAGTTGGGTTTTTGTAGGTATTCTACTGGCATATGTTGGAGAAAGGTAGACAATTTTTAACCAGTTCCTGGAGGGTCCAGGACCCAGACAAGTTTTGTTACTGATGTTCTAATGAGATCAAGAAAAAAGATTTGTGTGCATGAAACATTTTCTGAGCACCTAGTGTTCTGGGGCTATGGCAGCAGACAGTGAAAGGTATACTTGTTACCTGAGTTCATGGCCTTTACATTCTATGGGGAGGAGGTGGAGGGACAGAAAATGAGGATGAGAGAGTTTAAAAAGAAAAAGAAAAGCCCACTGCAATTGAATCATTTCTGACTCCTAGCCACGCTATAGGACATAGAACTGCTCCTTTGGGATTCTAAAACTGTAAACCTTTATGGGAACACACTGCCTCCTCTTTCTCCCATGGAGCAGCTGATGGGTTTGAACCACCTACTTTTTGGGTAGTAGCCCAATGCATAACCCATGGTACCACTTGGGATCCTTCATGAGAGAATTGTCAAGTAAAAGTAATAGACGTATGAAGTATAAAATATGCCTGAAGGGAGCAGGTGCTTTGAATACAAAACAGAAACAGAAGGAGGAGGCTGTCTATGATTTACATGAGGGTCAGTCAAAAAGAATTGCTACTAAGATTCCAGTTCATGCATGCATGTGTTCATTCCAAATAAAACATGTTGAAATACATCTCTGCGACCAGAACCTGCAGACAAATTCTCTCAGTAATACATGTGTCCTAGTCTACTTAGGTGATTGTCGTTAAGTGCCATCAAGTCGGTTACATCTCATAGCAACCCAGTATAGGGCTTCTAAGGAGCGGTTGGTGGGTTTGAACCTTCGACATTGTGGCTGGCAGTTCAGTGCTTAGAGGTCCAATCAAAACAATGACTTCTGAGAAGATCTGCTGAGCCAGTTCCATTTAAGGCACAAAGGTCAGCTCAGAAGGCTATGGCAACAGTTTTTATGGGATTGTAAAGGGGTCATCTTGATAGCCTTGTCTCAGAGGACACAGGATGATCACAGAGGCTTATTAGGAAGATGTTGCAAGAAAATTGAAAAGTGCATTGTTGAGGAAAAGACCAGGAAAGTTGTGCCGAGGAATTTTTCCCTCACAATAATGCACCTGCTCATTCTTTGACTGCCCTGTGAGAATTTCCTTGGAAAACCTTGCCCCATCCACCGGATCTTGCCCCTTCAGATTTCCTTTTGTTCTCCAAACTCAAAGGGCATTGAAAAGGAACACCATTTGAGTCCCCTGAGGATGCCAAAACTGCTATTTTGATGTGGTGTGAATCAAAGAGTGCAGAATTCTTCAGGGAAAGGTTAGGGATATGGGAACACCACCTTCTGATGTGCAAAGACCTAGATGGAAGATATGTCAAGACCCAATAGAATCATATTTGTGTTTAATAAAGATTTCTATGGTTTTGTAGTCATACTTTCTGATTTCCCCCTGGCATAGTCTGGACAGACTCAGTTCTCAGACAGGTAACACCTGAGCAGAGACTTGAAAGAGGCAGGGAGGAGCTCTGGGGATATCTGGGGGAAGAGTCTTCGAATGGGAAACCCGAGGCAGGATTTTGCCTGGTGTGTTCCAGCCAGGGAGGGCAAGAGAGTCTGTGGGAGAATAGAGAGGCATCTGGAATTCATTCTCTCACTGACTTTCTACATTAGGGATCTTTAACCTCCTGAGGGGGCATCAGGAGACCTGTGAGCCTCCTAAAATTGTGGACTTTGTGATTGTGTGTGTTTTTTGTTCTGTTCTCACAAAGGGATATTCTGACCTCTGCAAAGTTGCAAACTATTTCATTACTTCAGAGGCAGAGTTCCAGAGACAGACAAGACAAAGACAGGAGAAGTGAGGGGACAGAGATCCAGAGAAAAAGGGACAGGCACTCAGTGAAAGGGGAGCAGAGAACCAGAGAGAAGTGGGATAGAGATCCAGAGAGTGGGGGACACAGAGACCCTGAAAGAGAGTGAGACAGAGACCCAGAGAGATAGGGGAACAGAGACCCAGAGAGAGGGGGACAGAGA